CTAGATCCCTCCTGAGCCCTGCGCCAGGAGGGAGCCCGGCCACCTTTGCACCCCTGGTCATCTCCTGCCTCGGGGATCTGCCCTGGGCTTGCCCGTGCCCCTCAACCTCAAGCTCAGGGAGTTGGGTTGATGGGAATGTCTGAGCCTCCAAAGGGCCTACCGCCTTTCTGAGCGCCCAGGGCCTCGCCTACAGGCCCCGTGCCCGGGATCGGTCAGTTCTGCGCTCACCCTCGCTGCCCCGGGACACAGCCAACCACCTGGGCCGGGACAGCCTCGGCCAGGACTCCCGGCCCTCCCTGGCTCTTGGTAAAGAACACTTCCCCTGTCTCCAAGTTGCCATAAGAAAATAAATACAAGTGACACTGTGCTGGGCCAAAGCTCATTAGTTCGTTGTCCAGGCCCTAATAAAGGAACAGAAGCGCAAATTATAGAGTTCAGCTTCAACACACGCTCTGTCACCCGAGATCAGCGGACCTGGAGCCTGATTCCAATTGCTCCCAACTTGCTGCGAAGTCCGCCCCCACCCCCTCCTCGGGAGCAGGAGGTTGGGTGGAAAAATATAGTTCCAAAGGGGGTAATGATCAAGCCTTTCCTCTCGGAAGCCTGCGCCACCTCATTTCCCATCAGTAATCCCAATAAAATTAACGTCGTGGCTGCGATGGAAAAGAGGAGGGCCCGCGACACTCCTGAAATAACACACTCTCCCCCAGCAAAAGGTAAAAACCAAAACGGCCCTTTGTTCGGCTAATTAACGAAGGCCCAACTCCGAAAGCAGATGTGTTTTCTTAGCTAATCACAAGCATGTCTCTTTCAAGGCGCGTCATTTCGAGGGGGCCGCTTGGGGGGGCGATGGGAATGGGGATACAGCACCCCCCAGGCCCTCTCTGCCTCAGGGGTGTCTCACCCCAGAGTAAAATCCAGAGGCTGAACCCAGGCAGCTCATCTCCTACACCGTTCTCCTCTTTAACCCTACCTAACCCAGAGGCCCAATAGGCACCTGGCCCTGGCCAGAATGTCAGGCCTGCAAGACGCAAAGGAAGAAAAAAAAATAAAAGTTTTAATGACACAGATGCCGTATTAAATGAGGCAGTTTTACAATTCACTTTGAATAGGACGCTAACTTATTACAAGTGTGTTATCAGAAGGACGATAAGATTTATAACTCCAAGAGTCAGCTTTTCGCCTTAATGACAAGGATATTAAGTGGAGGAAATCTGTTCCCTATTAGAGATGAGAGTCCCTTCCCTGTTTTGGGGGCATCTACAGACACATCCAGGAGGGCAGATACCAAGCCCCTTTGTGTCTCCTGATGAAAAATTCTTCCTTTTCCCTTTGGTAATGAAACTGGGTCTCCTTGCTAAGCACCTGGCTCAGCTTTTCAGTGTGTGCTTGAGAGAGAGAGGAAAGAGAGAGAAAAAATGAGGGGTAGCAGTAGAGATGAAGATGGAGGTGACAGTCCGTTCTTAGCCCTGGGGTTCACCCAGCAGAACTATTTCCCAGCCCCTCTTTGCCACACCAAAGATGGCTTTCCCCTAAACCAACACAGTAAGCAAACTTTAAAAAACTGGGGTCCTATTACAAACCAACGCCCAGCACTAACTGCTTTAAAATTACTGCATAATTAGATTTAGTTGAATTTCACCATTAATTAGGCAGCCGCGCGGCAGGGAGCCTTTGAAATCTGAGAAAATGGGAAAAAATCATCTGAAGCACGTTTTTAAAACCCAACTTCAATAAATCTTGACGAGGCCCGGAATTCAGAGTCCCTCCCTTCCCTCCCAGGCGGCTGAGGGTCGGGGTCTCCAGGCTCGGGCTGGGGCTGGGGTTGGACATCGGCGGGAGAGCTCGGCCCGGGCCCATCCACTGTCCAGGCAGAGGCCCTCGGAAGACCCTCCTGGGAGGCCAGCTGTCCCACGGCCGGCCTTGCCTGCTCTCCAACCGATTACAGCAAGGGGACCCTTGCTGCAGGCGCGCTCCTGTCAGGGGCGCTGTCCACGCGGGTCCACACATTTCTAGGGCCTGCGACCACCCGCCCAGAACCGGCCCCTCAGCCCCTGCGAGCCCCCAATCAGCCCTCCGCCCGGAAAGCCACCTTTCCTACAACTTTGACCTGCCAGCAGCACGTTCTACCCACGTCCGGCGGGGTCGGCAGCGGCCCCCACCCCCAGCTCGGCCCGCGCGGAGCCCGGCGCAGCCCCTGCATTAATGAGCGAGAACCGAAGAGGTCTGCACGCGCCCCTCCCCCTATACCATTAAAACATTTAAGATCGTTTGAGGATCCAGACTTTTGCTTCCCCTCAATTGATGCTCGAAGGGAGGGGAGACTTGAAATAAACTCTCTTGATTACTGGGGAGGGGGGAGGAGAGGGGGAGCGAAGAGAGAAGGGGGTCCCCTTTACCACTATTTCCCCTACGAATTCTGCTGCTTTAATTACAGATCGTCGCGGACCGATCGCACTCCCTGGCCAGGCAGAGTTTAAAAGAGGGTTTTCTGCCTGCAGATGGAATGGCCTTTGGCCGTCCCCCCCACCCCCCTTTTTTTTTTCTTTTTGGGAATCAATGTGTTTCCTATTACCCGGCCCTGCCGTGCCTGGAGCCCGGCGCTCGCGGAGCGATGGGAGACGCCATGTTGGCTCAGCTCATAGGACCAAGTCAAAAGCGAGCTTCGAGGCAGAGTTTCACACGCTCGGGCTCCCCCCGATCGCCCCCCGCCCCCCGCCCCCGCCCCCCGCCCGTCGCCGCTCGGTGCACAGCCCGGAGCGCGGCTCCGCGCGCCCGGCACCCCGGACCCGCCGGGGGCGCGGGCGGAATTCCGCCGCGTAAGTGGGGGGCGGGGGCGGGGGCTGGGGCTGGGGGGCAGGCACTTTGGCGCGGCTGCTGCCAACTCCAGGCCCCCGTCCCCGCGGCCGCCGGATGCTACCCCAGCCGGCTCCGCGGAACCGCCTCGGACGTCGCCCGCTAACTTTGAGACCCGGCCCCTGGCGGCCCGGGGACAACTACTGTTGCAAGGCCGAGGCTGGGCGACCGCGCGCCGAGCCATCGGGCCAGAATCCCCCCAGCTCGGCCTCCCCCCAGGTTTGTTTGAAAAGTGGCGAGAAGCAGCGGCGATGGCCCCCCCGGCCCCCCACCCCTCCGCGGACTATTGTTGCATTTCGCGTCTAACTGGGTTCTCTCACACCCCCGAGCGCCAAGGGGAGGAGGGGGAGCGGGGCTGGGAGAAGGAATAAAGCGAGCTCAGATCAGATGAAAAAAAAAAAAAAAAAAAACCAGCAAGGAAAAAGAGACACTTAAAGGGAAAGAGTCGCCATGTTTAGCAGCTTTTTTAAAGATCTCGTCAATTTCACACAGAACGCGCTCGCTGGGTCCCAGCCCTCGTCTTTTGTCCAATTCAGTTGCAGCAAAGATCTTTTGTTCTAACTCAGCGTGAAAAGAAAAACTTTCTTTAAATGCAATAAACTTAAACCAAGCTCAAGACTCTAAACAGATCCTCCTCCGGCCACTCGAAACATATACAAGGGGTTTTGTTTTAACCGTTTGAAAAATTGGGGGTCCTGTTTCTCTGCCTCGCAGACCCCAATCTGATTGCTGAAACTTAGAGAGTGAGAGTGAAGATCCCCAACGTCTAGAACACATGCTTAAAGCATAATAAAACAGGGACTGTCTTGTGCTTTGAAAATCATAAATTATAATTTAATGCCAATAATAATTTACAACAAATGGCTGTTTACAATAAACTAACACAAAACAAATAAGGAAAAGGGCCTGTGTTTTACTTATTAGAGAAACTTCACGCACTCACATGGATAGCACTTGCAAGAGGAGAAAATAAACACCAACCTACAAAACCTCAACCTAAAAGGTCAGGGATATTCCGCCTTAAGGACGTACTTATATTTACGTTTGTCTATATCTACAGAAGGAAGCTGAGGGTCACATGGAGAACTCTGCTCAAATGCACACATCAGACAGATATTTCTGGTCTACATGTATTGACTGGCACTGAGTCTCAATGTTTAATACACTTTACAAAATGACCCCTTTTCTTTGACCTCCCCTACCCACCCCATTTTTAAATTAAGCCACAACCTAGGGAAATATGGGGGTGGGGTGCTGGAAAACCTCAATAAGAACAAAATTGCAAGGTCTCACGCACTGAGCTTTCTCCAAACCAGAACAAGAGGGGGCACAAAAACCCCCACAAAACTCCAAAACAAAATAGTTCCTACTTCCAAATCAGCGCACCCTGTGAAGTTTCCTTCCTTCTTTCTCCCTGGTCTTTTTCTTAATTTGGCTTCTAAGGACAAAGGATCCCAAGAGCAGTCCGGATTGTATCTACACAATCTGAAATGTCAAAATGTCGATGTGTTTTTATGTACATAACTCCAATGGAAGAGATTCCCTTGACCTGTGGTCATGCTCTCACAGAAGAACATAAAGGGGGGGAGGAGACAGGCAGGCCAACTGCAAGTTATATATACATTAAAAACAGACCCTTCAGCACTATAAGCTGTGTCACTGAATTTGAAATCCTCTCAACAACCACGCTGGATGAGAACCACAGACTATTTTTTAAAAATCACACCTACTTTAGGAAAAACTCATTGCATATGGTCTTCTGCTTCACTGTCAGAAATGTACAAAACACTATTTTTTTCTGATCATAAAATAGATACTGATCTCAAAATTTCTAATACTTTTCACAATACCTTCCCTAAGCAGGCACTTAAGTGTGACAAATATAAGGGCCTTTTTTTTTTTTTCCTGGAAAATCCATTTTTAATTAAAAAGGGGATTAGGTGAAGGGGGGTGGTTTACTATATCAGTATGGCACTTCCTAAACCATAGATAAACCATTAACTTCAGCCCCCCCCCACATACCCAAATTAAGCAAGTAAATACATTACTCCGCTTTTGAACAAACTGAGGATCAGCCCTACTCACCAAGAGCTCACAGGGGCCTTCTCCATGGAAAGACAGTGAGTGGGGACAGCCAAACAGGGTTTCAGATATCAAATAATATTTTAATTTCTGAATACTTTCAAATTTTCCTTGGAATATAACACACAAAGACTCGACCAAACAGTTCAGTTATTATAACTTTTACAGTATACAGAAATGTTGCACTTAAAAAAAAAACCTTCAGTTTTTTTTAAAACACAAACTGTAAACTCTAAGATACTGAATCAATCACATTATCTATAAGTGCCAACAGTGTTATTTTGTCATGCTGATTTCAATGGTATTTTTTAAAAAGGGAATATCAACAATTATAATACAAAGGGTTTGCAAATATACAAACAGATATAGGATTTTCATAACAATTCAAGAACTAAGCGGGACCCAATTCCAATTACAAAAGTTCACTTTTTATTCAAAACCTCAGCATGTGTCTTGGACACATTCCTTGGCTGCCAATAAATTCCACAGTTCATTCTCTTTCTTAAAATATTTTTAAAAAGCTAGGTTTGTCTTGGTGTCTTTTTTTAGGGGGGGGGGCAGGGTAGGGAGAGTTAAGTGTTACATGTGGTTCCTCTAGTTCTCAAATGAAAGAGTTTAAGTTCACCTAAAATTTTTGGTCATCACCTATAAGTGCGTTTCCATCATCTTTGAGTTTCCTTTTAAAGTTTTATGTCTTCCTATGATATTTTCATGGACTCAGTTTTAATTCTTGGAGAACATATATTTTAAGGATACACAGTTTTTAAGAAGCCAAGATTATATCAAAACTTATTATAGAACCACAGAATAAACTGGTTTGGAACCAGGAAAGTACAAAAAAAAAAAAAAAAAAGTAACAGCTAGAGGTACATAGACACAGGACAATTAATAATTTGGAAAAAAAAAAAAAGACTTACTTTCTCCATTCTGCTAATTTTCTCCCAATCTCCTTAAATGCACTTTTAGCAATAGTTTTCAAAAATTTACCAAAAAAAAAAAGAAAAAAAGACTAATTTCCTTTTTGTACAAAAAAAAAAAATTGATAAGTAGCATGTTGTTCTGACCGACACAGGAGTTTTTTGTATTTTTTTTTTTTTTTTAATGCATTCTGTGAAAGTTCATTTGACAGTCTTTTAAATTTTTGGAAATTCACAGTCCATTAAATTCTTCCCCTCTCTTCTTCTAGCAAACTTGTAACATCCTTTTATATCCTTTCTTAACAGAAGGAATTTAAGCAAACAAACGAGTCTTTTGCCTTTTCTTTCTCTCCCCCTTATGGTGATCTTTTTTTTTTTTTTTTTTTTTTTTTATTGAATTGCCATATACGGCCAGTTAAAACTGCTGCCGGACAGTAACATATCCCGGATGAGGGTTTCGATGGGGGTTTTACCTACCAAACGGACGAAAAACAATTGCTCTATGACTGAGGAGGAGACGGTACGCAGAGAAGGGAGGCGAAGCAAAAGCTTCCCGAATCGCGTTGGTTGGTTGGGGTACTGGCTCCTAACGTACTCTTCCAAAGCACACTGGGACTTTTCCTGCAAACTTTCCACATGGGCTACATCAGAGAGACCACAGGCATCTGGAAGAAAGTAAAAAAAAAAAAAAAAAAAAAAGAAAGAAAAAAAGAAGAAGAAGAATTCAGTCATCAGATTAAGAGGTTTGAAATGGGTCACAAGAGGTGTGTGTATATTACCCAAACTGCCCCAACCAGAGTTGGAGGAAATGCCTAGGACTGAAAACTTGGGGGGTGGGGGTGAGAGTGAGGAGAGAGCAGGAGATGGTCCTGGGGTATTTGCTTAAAAATAAAACCCAGCTCTGGGCTGCTACAGGCTTTCACTGTCCCCGTCCCCTGGCTTCGTCACTGGGAGGCCCAAGCAAAGTGCATTGGCTAAAATCTGTCTCAAGTCAGTAAACAGAAAGACAAACGGATGAAACCAAAAGTGCTAATGCTCCTCCCTCTCCCCCTCTGTAAATAATAGTTAGGCTTATAATTATAGAGTGTGGGGGGGTGACAACCTGGCCCAGCACCGAGGAATGGCGTCCACGACCCAGCCTCAGATTGTCCCCAAAGAGGACGACTCATTTTTCTCCAGTCTTTGAAACTGATTTAAGTGGCCCTTTAAAACTGATCTTGTCAGTTTAGCCTATTGAAGGGCAGCCATGCAAACTGTGATCTCTCTGTTCATTTGAGCTGTTTCTTTCCCCCCTTTCTTCTCTCTCCCTTTTTCTCCTACCCCCCTTTATTTATTTTTTTAAAAAACCCAGGTCCCTCCAAAGGGAACCCTCCTCCCCGTTATCTTCAGGAAAACACTTTTCTTTTTCTGATACGTAAAAATACAATAAGTGCCTTTGAGATGAGAGGCTTCTCAGTGAAGGCGGTGCAGGTTGTGACCTGACCTTTTGGGGCTCCCCAGACAAGACGGGGGCTAACACATACACACTGTGAATCTTAAAACGGGGCTTCGAAGAAAACAGCCATCACCACCTCCGCCCCACGAACCAGAACCCACTTGCAATCTTTTCATGTGTGTTTCCAGTACTCTGCCTGTCTGCACACGGCATAGGTGTCTGTGGTCAGGAATTAAAATATCTGTTTGCATAAACCTCCTTCCCTGAGCATCGCACTGGCTCTGAATCAGATAACAGGAGCCTTTATCTCTTTGTGGGGTGATTTGTATTCCCCACACAGGCCTCTACATTTTACAAATAGTAATAAATTAAACTGTTACGACAGTATCAGGCATTTCTTGCCTTGAGAGACCAAGGGTAAGGCTAAGAGCTAACAATGATATCAAGAAATTAACAGCCACCCCCATGGCCTGGGAATGTGAGCTGGGTGAGGGACTGTGAGGCAGGGCTGGAGGTAGCTGTGGGGTAGGGAACTGTCCTGCTCTTATGTTTGTATCAGCAAACGTTCCCGTTATGACAGGTCCCCCGAGGAAAATAATCCAGATTCAAGCCTTTGCATACAGCTCTTCCTTGCCCAGACACTGCCCTTTCATTGATCACCTGAGGACTTTTGAAGCCACAATTTGGGGTGGCGGTGGGGGCTTTTATGTAAAAAACAGCAATCCAGAAAAGACTCAGAACCTACAATAGATGCAGCTAATGACTTGGGTCCCCAGGTTTCCTTCAAACAATAAGGAAGAGACTGTGGATTTTTTTGTCTGCCACATGAAATCACAAAGCTCTCTCCCACTGTTCTGATTTCAAGTTGAAAAAACAGTGGGTGACTTGGTTCCAAGCCCTGCCCACGTCCAAATGGTTGGTATGCTGACTTGGGAACCCCTTTTCCCTCTCGGCCTTGACAAAGGGATCAGCTGTCAACTTAGAACAAGAAGGGGGGGGGTGATTTCCACCCACCTGTGCTAGGCTGAACTCAGCCTGGAGGCAGCCAAAGGCTCAGGTGTGGCCCAAAGTGGAAAGCCAGCCACTTTCAAAAATCATTTAGCCTCAAGAGTTAATTAATATTAGATCTATTACTCACACAGGTTAAACTACATGCAAACTAATTAGATTTCATAATGCAGTCAATGATGGTTTTATATCTCCAGCAACATTCATACCCAGCCCAAGTTGGCAGACACTTGGAGTTGTTTGGAAATTACCTTGTGTGTGCCTAAGCAGGGTAAGCAAGAGGCTGGGATCTTCAACCCCCTGCAGACATGCTGAAGAGTTCTGATACCACCCCCCCTTTTCCTCTGGCCCCTTTCTGGCAGTCTGCATTGTTTTCATCAGAATATGATTTTCAAAATTGGTGCCCTCTGGTTGGATTTGCCTGGAGCTCCAACTCCTGTTAAGTTAACGGGCAAACTTTCCCCTGCAAGATGATGCTGGGACCGCCCCAGTGCCCAGGGGCATCTCCTAGAGGCTAAGCCAGGGCGACAGAGAGAACCGTGGGGTAGACAAGATTCCACAGGCTCAGTGGCCCAGGGGGCCTGGGCTAAGGGGGTTTAGCTCACATCCCAGCCCAGCAGGAGGGCAGCAGCCAGAGAGGCCTCCCCTTGGCCCATTTTGAGAGAATCTGAGTCTGAAGCATCCTTCCTGCAGCCCAGTCTTCCTCCCCTCTCCCACACAGGCCTGGTGGGGCCCAGCAGCTATTCAAAGTTCTCATCCAAGTTGCACTCAACAGTTTGGCCTGTCAAGGAGCAGGTTGGTTGGCTCTGGGGACTCCCAAGTTGTCTGGGCCCTAACTCTGGGCTAGAGGCCCTTGGGCACGAGAAGAGAAGGCTCCTTCCTACCTGAGGTGAACAGGACTATGGCCTTGAGGCAGCTGTACTCAGCGGAGTCAACGTGCAGGGCCTTGAGCTTCTCCACTTGCTCTTGGAAGATCCGTATGTGGTCCATAAAGGCGACCACCCGGTCGGCGGACATGGGGGAGGCGTGGAGGCCTGCGGCGGCCAGGAGCGGGGCAACGTGGAGAGGCATGGAGCACTGAGCCGCGTTCAGCACAAACAGCTCGCTCCAGGTGAGGCGAAGCAGGGCCACCTGGTCGGTGATCTGCAGGTCAGGGAAGAAGGGGATGTTCCGGGCCCACTCCACGGCGCTGAAGAGCATCCGCGCGGCCAGTTCGCAAATGTTCTCGATGCCCATGATGTTGTTGGGCTGCATGCACTGGCTGCCGAAACGCGACGTGGGATAGGGCTCGGCGCGCAGCAACAGAGAAATATATCCCGACAGGTACGAGTGGCAGTTGAGGGGGTCCCCGTTGGTCAGCGCAAACTGCCCGTGGGTCGGCTGGGTGGGCGGCATCCTGCCTCTCTGTACCGCTGTGGGGAAGAAAGACACTCCTTGGTTAATGACCAGCCTTGGTCCCCAGCGCCCCTAGCAGGGCCTGCCCCAGCCCGACCCCCACCTGACCCAGACCCTGCGCAAGAACAGGAGGCCTGCCCTCCAACCAGAGCGCCTGGGAGTCGCCAGAGGAGCCCTCCTCTCCAGTCACACCCAGGCCAGCTCTGGCGGCTCAGCGACACACTTGCCTCCGAGGCCCGCTCGGAGCTGGGCCGCCGAGGACCCAGCATTGGCCACTTTGCCTCGGGGTCCCCGGCGCGGTGGGCGGGATATACATTCTGGGGGCATCTTTCTTCTTTACTGCTAAACAGCTGATATTTCTTATTGATTGGAGGAGAGGGAGCGGGAGGGGCGAGTCTGGGGGGTGGGGTGGGGAGGGAGAGACTCTTTTACAAAAGACACAAGGGTTCGCCCCAGACGGCCTGTGGCCGCCCCGGAACGACTCTCCCCCAAACCCCGCAGCCCCAGCCCCAGCCCCAGCCCCAGCCGGGCGGGAGACTCCGGTGAGAAACGAGAGGAGAGCTGAGATCTGGCGGCAGTCTGATCAGTGTGCTCGGAGAACGGAGACCGAGAGAGAGGGCGGAGAGAGAGGCCGGCCACGGCGGGAGGAAGCCGGGGAGAGGCGGGGAGCAAGCGGCCGGCGCAGCCCGCGTAGGGCCCGGGAGGGCCGGGGAGCGCCGGCCAGGCTCGGGCCGGGGCTGTTATCTGACGCCGGACGGGGGGACCCGCTCTCCCAGAAACACAAAGAAACCCCGGCGATCGCTGGCCCCAACCCGGAGCCCGCGCCCGGCGCCCGGCGCGCCATTGGCCGAGCCCGACTCGCAGTGCTCGGCGAATTTTCTATCACAAAGACCCAACTCGCGCAGAGCGAAAGCAGCCGCCCGGGGCCCTCGCCCACCCTTCCCCTAAGTCCCTATCGCGCTCTCCTCCTTTCAAAAGTGAAAGGAAAAAAGAAAACAGGAATTTTTTTGAGCAGAATGTTAATCCACGGAGGGTCACATGAGCGCAGCCCGGGCGGCAGCGTTAATACGGCGAAGTGCATAAAATTGCCATTTGTAATTTGAACCTCCCGTACAAAAGTACAATCTCAGGTTGGTTTTTTTTTTGAGAGGGTGGGGGCTGGGGAGAGGTGGGGAGGAGGGACATATGTTGAACATGCAGGAAAAACCAGGGGAGAGAGAGAGAAACTGAGAAGAGAGAAAGAGAGAGGGCGATAAGTAAACCAGGCTTTAAAACCACAACTGCAAACGGCACCCATCCCTTGCAGAAAGGCGAACTCGAAGGAACTCACAATCCACGCAAACCGGCCCAAAGAGAGAGTGGAGATCAGTCGGCCAAAGCATGCGGATCTCGGATCTGGGGGAGGGGGGTGTGGGTTCCAGTGCAGAACTTGCTTCTAGTAGCAACCCCCTTTGGGCTGCAGGGCAGAGCTGGGGCTCCAGGGTCCTTACCCAGAGCAGGCTAGCCAAACGCACCCAGGGCCCCGGGACCCCAGGCGAGGGGGGGGGGGGGAGAAATGAGAGGCCGATACCTTCCCGTCTCATGCCCACTTTGAGGCACTTTTTGAGGCGACAGTACTGGCACTGGTTGCGGTGGTGCTGGTCGATGGGACAGTTCCGGTTGGCGCGGCACGTGTAGCTCAGGTTCCTCCGCACGCTGCGCTTGAAGAAGCTCTTGCAGCCCTCGCACGTGAACTGGCCGTAGTGCTTGCCGCTCGACTTGTCCCCGCATACCACACACTCGATGTGCTGCTGCTGCTGCTGCTTGTCGCCGCCTGGACCGCCAGGGCCGCCCTGGCCGCCGGCCGCCGTCTGGGCCGGTGTGCTGGCCGGGCCCCCTTGGCCGGGCGTCTGTGGCGTGTGTGGGGCGCCGGGCGGCGGGCCGGGCACGGGCGGCGCCTGCGAGGCCTGGCTGCCCTGCGAGCCGGGCACCTCGTCCTGGGGGTCGCGCCACGTGCTGACTACCATTGCCATATCTATGGGGGCCGCGTCCGGACTTCCTGCTCCCCTGGCTGCGGGCGGCGGCGGCTCCCGGGTCGCGGGCTCCGGTGCGCCGCCTTTTGTGTGTGCGAGGGTGCGAGAGGGCGCGGGAGGGCGCCCCGGGTGGCTCGGGGGCTGGTTGGTTGAGGTTGGTTAGTTTTTCCTTTTTTGTTTCTGCTTTTGCAAAGTTTTGTCGATGGCTTGTCTGGCCCGGTGTGTTTGTTTTGTTTGTGTCCCTCGGCTCAGCTTTGTTGGTTTCGGGGGGCTTTCCGCCGGGAGGGGTGGGGAAGGGCCGGGGGAGAGCGAGTGAGAGCAGAACGTGGAGAGAGGGAGGGGAGGGAGAGCTGCAAGTCGATTGTCTGGCTTCAAGAGAGAAGTAGGAGGCAGAAAAAAAAATCTCTCCAAAGATCTCGCTCGCTCTCACTCTCTCCCTCCCTCTCTCGTTCACTCTCCTGCTCTCAGAGCTGGTGTGCCGAGGAGTTGGAGGAGGAGGAGGAGGAGAAGGAGGAGGAGGAGGAGGAAGAGAAGGAGGAGAGGCGACTGTCCGGGGGCCAAGTCCAGGGCAGCCCACAGTCAGCCATTCAGGAAAGCCATCGAAATCGAGAGGACTAGGAGAGCGGAGGCGCCGGGCGCGGGCGCGCCCAGAGAGCCGGGCAGGCCGGGGCGGAGGCCGGCGGCCCGCGGAGTGGCCGGAGCGCTGCCCGGGTCCGGGGGAATCAGCATGAAAGTGGTCCGCGTCCGGCGCTGCGCGGCGTCGTCCTGGCGCTGGGCCGCTGCCGCCGCCTGCCCCGGGCGCCCGGCGCGCGCCTGGCTCGCTCCGGCCGCCGCCGCCCGCTCGCGCCGGATGGAGGCCGCTCGCCGATCCCTGCGGGCCGCCGCCGCCGCCGGAGCCGCCGCCGCCGCCGCCGAAGCCGCCGGGTCGGGCCCGGAGCCGCCGCGTCTAGCGCCGCCGCCGCCGCTGAAGCCGCTGCTGCCGCTGCTGCCGCCGCCGGAGCCGCTGGTGCTGCTGCCGCCGCCGCCTCACACACATAGGGAAAGAGTCAACTCGCCGGCGGCGGGGGAGAAATGATAAAAGAGAGAGAGGAGGGCAGATCACCACCTAGAAGCACATCCTTCGTGCGCAGAGCGGGGAGAGAAAGACGGAGAGAAAGAATGAAAGAGGGAAAAAAAGGCAGCACGGCACCCGGAGAAAGGAGGCAACTCGGGAGAGGAGGAGGAGGAGAAGAAAACACACACGCGCGCACGCACACACACACCGCGGAGAGAAAAGAACAGAGAATCAAAGTGATCAAATATGCTAAAAAGGGGGGCGCGGGAGGGAATGCGATTTATAGGCGCCGGGGCTGGCAGAAGTGGCTTCTCCGCGATCAGCTCACTGAGCTCTCTATATAGTGAACTTTGACACGACTGCTGCAACTTAGCGCACGTTGCCATGGCGACGGCGCGCCTTATAAGGCAGCAGCCGGGGTTGGCCTGGCCAGGCGCGCGCGCGCCGCCCCCTCGCCGTCATTGGCCGGAGCGCGGCGGCCCCGCCATGGCGGCCGCGGGCTCAGCTCGGTCCTAGCGCGAGCGGCGCCGCGGCTCGGGGCGCGCGGGGGGCGCAGGGGGACAGGGTGGGGGCAGTGGCGTCCCCGCCGCCGCCGAGCGGGGGATGGGCCCGGGGCGGCCCCGGGCGCGCGGCCCCCGCGCTCTGCGCATCCCGCACCCCGCACCCGAGGTTTCCGCCCCAGCGGAGAGAGGAACGCGGCGCGCAGACAAAACGCCTCTTAAAGGCTCCGCGAGAGGCTTTGGATGGAATCGAGGACTTCGCCTCTCGCAACTTGGCGATGCCACGAAACCCAGCGCTCGCGCACCACCCGGGACTCCCGGCGCATCTTTGTGCCCACGACGCCGGAGAAAGCGAAAAGTTCCCCGGTTTCTTTGCAGAGGGGTAGTGGGTGGGGGTGGGAAGGTGCTGCGAGCCGAGCTTGCGGGCAATTTCCAAACGAAAGCTTTGGCCCAAGCCAGGTGATGGTAGACCCTTCTCTTAATTGACTCTGATCACTTGCTTGGTTTGTTGGCTTTTTTTTTTTTTTTTTTAAAGAGGGGAAAAAGCGGTTCAGAGTCTGTCTTTGCCTTGTAGGGTTAACATTTCACAGGTATGTGGCCTGACATTTTAATTGCTCAAATAAAGCATCTCGGATGCTAAGAAGCAGAAATAGACTTCATCTCATTGTCATGACGCAATTAAAATAAATTTTTCTCAACTTTATCCTCTCTGGTTGGTTTTGGCTAACTCGGAAGCCAACATCCTGCCACACACCCAGTCATGGTGAGAGAGGAAAAGACCGATCTTCCTGCTGCTGGGCTAGCAGGGGTCGCCTCACAGCCTCCCCTGTTTGTACCCTCTGCACACACATGTAAGCGTACATGTATGAGATATACTTTTGTCCATGTACCCAGACAAAGACTTCAGCGACTCTGCTTCTAGGTCATAGAACAGTGGAGTCCGGACTTCATTGTTCCTTAAGTTTCTTTAAAGCATTCATACAGCCATAAAAACACACCCAGAGATTCTGTCCCAAATTAGGAATAATACCAGTACAACTCAAAAGAACCACATACCAGCCATATTCTACCCCAAGAAATCCACTCCAATAAGACCAACTTCATAGTCTCTGCCATTCTGTTCAATGGGCTAAAATCATCCAGATGGTGTGTCTCTAAATTCCAGGGCGCTGGGCTTTAAACATCAAACATCTAGAATTGCCCCCCTTCCCCCAGAACACACTCTATTCCAATGCACCTTTCTGTTTGATTAGGACGAGTTAGTGGGTTTTGATGATTCCATATCCACAAAAGAAAACTGTGACTCCGTCACACACACTTTGCACCAAGAGAAACCTGTAAATTTGTAAGCTAACCAGGTTTATGAACAATTAAAATATTTTACACAAAACACGCCGAGCCACAGGAAACGTGAACACATATAAATAGTAATGAACAACCACAAGAAAGCATCCTTGAGAGTTCAAAACATCAAAAAGATGAAGCATTTTTTAAGAAAAAAATCAACCACACATAAAATTGACATGTGTAGATTTCATTTTGCGTTTAATACCCTTTACACACACAGGCAGAATCCAAGTTAGAGACTAAGTGGAGACGTAGATAGATAGGGGCTAGATTTTAGGGAAGAAAAAAAAAAAATCCTCTTTCCGCTTCATTTCTGAAACCTTCTTAGTTCCCACCCTTTCTCTGCTAAAATCACATATTTCACGAAAGCTGCAGGTATTGGGATTATTTGAAAGTTGTAAAAGAAAACCAAAACAAAAAAAACACAAACAAATACAAAACCCCAAACCCTATAGTAGACAGTGAACTATCATAAACCTCGTGTGTAATGAGACTGCCACAGGGCGAGGCAGGCTGAGAATGTCAGGTTGATTAGAGGCACAATCTAACTTTCTCCAAAAGAGAACCAGAAGCATGAAAAAGAAATTATTCCAGGGAAGGAATTTTTTTTCCCCCTTTCAATCTCTATGATTCGAGAAATTGCCTAGTGGCACAAATGTCAGTAGATTAGGGGCTCGCTCAGCAGTGGGCTGGGGTTGCAATAGGGATTCTGATGGGTGTTCCCATTTCAATGTCATAGAAGAGAGAATAATTGATTATGGGGGAATCTGAATTTTGCCTCATGTATCGACACTTCCACAGCAAGATACACCTTTTACAAACATGCAGTTGGAAAATTCGGAGGGGGAAGAGTTTCCCCAGTCCACTTAGAGATATTTGCTATTTGAAGTCCACTTTGATGGCCTCAAATTTAAAATGAAGAATTTCCCAACAGAATTGGAGCCTGCTGGGCTCATGACCACTGAGATGCCATGAAGTAAAAAATGTTTCACTCTGTATGTTAGGGCTCATTCATAGTTATGCAGATGCTATTAAAAAGCCCCCCACCCCCCAAAAAAGGTATTAATTGTAGTTAATTTTACTACATAAAAGGACTGCAGACAGAAAATAAAATAAAAGGAAAATATTTAAAAATCTTATTTAGAGATGCTTTAATAAATGAAACAGCTGAAATAAAACAGCTCTAAGATTCACTGATAAATATCAATATACTGTTAGCGTTTCAAAAAAAAAAAATCTAGCCCACTCTTTTATTGCAGATGTAAATTTATTTTAATGAGAGGAATGGCAAGCTTTAATTTGGCCCGAGAAAGTTGGAAAAACATTTGTCTTACTCTGGGAATCAAAAGCAAAGAAGAAAACCCACCCAGGAATATGATTTTATTACAGAAAGTGGACTGACTGCTGTAATTCTTCACAGATTAAATCACGATATGAATACAGACCCCAGCAAATGCCGAGTTTAACTCTGAACTCAGTAGAAACCAGCTCTGTCCGCCAGGATTCATTGAATCCCTCCTTCCCCTCAATCTAGTCCGTGTGTGTTTTTCTCCTCCACCACACTGGAGCTCCATGAATAGGAAAAGGGGCTTCCATTGTGTCCTTCCAACTTCCAAGTCAATGCAATTTTTAACCACTGGCTTGTGGTACTTTGAAAATCACCAGGGGCTGTCAGAGTTGGGTCCTCTGAAAAATTTACAGTGCTAAATCAGAGCATATGCTGGGAGGGAAAAAATTGCTTAAGATTGGAATAAGTACAGTATCTGTCTGCCCCCTAGCGTAAGAGTCCTCGCTGCCTAAAATTCAACTTTAAAAGACAAGGAGCTCTTAAAGGGAAACGACTTTAGTAGGCATAGGAGAATGAAACTTCTGTACATTTTAATCGGAATCATTTCCCAGGATTTAAAATTAATTGGCTCTGGCTTGGTTGGACCGGACCTGGATGTCGCCACCTCTTGCGTTTCCCGAATCACTGGCTGAGAGGTGATGATTTTTTTTTCCCCCTCCCTGAACTGGGTGTATGTGCGTCCCTCTCACCCCCTCCTCTCTTTTTCTTTCTCGGTCTCTGTCGTCTCTCTCGCTGGCTTTTTAAAAATGAGGACCCGATCCTTGAACGTTCTGGACAGAGCCCAGAATTGCTTCTTAAGTCAGCCCGGCGCGGTTGCAATAGACAGCAAAAAGGTAAACGTTTGCCTGCAAGCCGCAAGCCAGCTCCACCACCCCGCCGGATGGTGAGTACCCTTCTTCGTCGCGATTGTCCTCCTAGCTTAACCGAGCGCTCGCCACCCCGCGCCGGGCCGAGGCGCCGGGCACAGCTCGCCTCCCTCCCCGCCTGGCTGCTTGTCAGATGCACAAGGTTGCAGCTCAGCGGCCAATCGAACAGTCAATTCGGATCCTTAGAGCGAGCCTAGCAGCCCCTTTGCTAGAAAACCGAGTCATCTATGGCTCGGGGGAAAAAAACACGCTTAGAGGACTGGTTTGCAGTTTTGCTCTACCGGAGGCGATGAGTTTGAGCAGCGGGGACCAGAGGGGAGGCACCGCAGTCTTTACGCTTCGGTTTAACCAGATTTTGGCATCTTCGCAATTGTATTTCCCTCCTCTCCCCCCCCCCCCCCATCACCACACACATGTAATAAAATATGGCAATGCATTGAATTGACTGTCCCCCCTTCCCCGAACCCCTTAAACCACAGTCCTAGGCATTTCATACACATTAGCCACCCGATTTTAAAAAATCCC